CGATTATCCACTTCATCGAATTACACGGTTTGCTTCATCGCTCTAGAGGCCGTGGATTCAAATCCGCCATTCGACCACCCTCGTGAACAACTCCTAACACAAGCATTTTAAGCTTCTATATTAGTTATAATAGCATTATATTATTATTTCTCTTTAAAAAAAATTATATTGTTTTTCTTTAAAAAAAACGAGATAATGTAAACACATCAACAGAATCTAGTCTCTTAGTATATAAAATATTTATATTTCATCAAATATCTAAAGACCTATGAAGAATATTCTAATATATAGTACAACTATAGTAAATGAAAGAATGTTAGGTTATTTCAAAGTCTTTAATACAAAACAAAATTATAAATATAATAATAATAATATATAAATTTTGTTATACTATATTATATTTGTATTCTATATTTAGAGCCGTGGTAGCTCAGATGGTTAGCGATCGCTGTAAATTTCACAGTACGCGAGCAAACCGGGTTCGATCCCCGCCGGCACCAATGAAATTATTAATTGCAATTTTAAGTGCTGATTTACCACGTGCTCGGCGGTAAAGGAAAACATCGTGAGGAAACCTGCATGTCTGAGGAATAAGAAAAAAAATATTTCGAAGACATGTGAAGTTCGCCAACACGCATTAGGGCAGCGCGGCGGACTCTTCCTTACCCTAAAACTCTCTCAGAAATGAGGGGGGGGGCCTGTGGCCAGCAGTGGTACGTATATAGTCTGTAACTTTACAATATTTATGTATATATATATATATATATATATATATATATATATATATATATATATATAAAAGAAAGTCGTGTTAGTTACACCACTTATAACTCAAGAACGGCAGAACAGATTTGGGTGAAAATTGGTATGGAGGTAGCTTAGAGCCAGGAGACGGACATAAGATACTTTTTATCCCGTTCGACAGCGTTCCCGTGTGACTTGACATGAAACGTCAGTCACTATAAAACGTGGTATAACAAAAAAAGAATCAGACTTGAAATAACAAAACGCAAATGATAGCTATGTAATTGACGTATAATGACAGCTATGTAATGACGTATAGATGACAATTTGATATTTGTAAGAAATCAATATTCAAACTATTTCTATTAAATAAATAATTAACAATTATAATGCAATGATAGTGTCATTGCCCATTCGTATAAACGGTCTTGCATTTGCCATGACCATCAACAAATCACAAGGCCAATCCTTAAAAGTTTGTGGTTTAAATCTAGAACATTCATGTTTTTCCCATGGTCAATTATACGTGGCATGTTCACGGGTCGGAAGACCATCTGCGTTGTTTGTTTTTGCGCCTGATAATAAAACAAAAAATGTCGTGTATCACAAGGTACTTAAGTGAAGAGCAACCTATGTACTAAAATACAGAAATAATAATGAATGATTAATGTAGGTATTTAATTCTTTTGTATTTTTTCCAATAAAAAAAACACAAACTGCTTATTTATTGCCATTAAGGCGGAATAAAGTTCGCCGGGTCAGCTAGTATATATGTATATATATATATATATATATATATATATATATATATATATATATATATATATATATCACTTTGAGAAAGTAGTCTGTTCAGAACCGTTTACTGAATCGATTCAAAGAACAAAAGAATAACACTTTAGAAGAAAAAATAAGGAATCCTTTAAATAGGAGTTATTTGGTGTTTGAGGTTAAATATAACATACCTGATTGTAACTTTAGGTAACACTGTTTCATCTTTGTCTTCATTATGCTCCTCAATTTCTAAAGGTTCGTGTTTTATCAAAATTTGAGGTTTTACTGTTGCGTTGAGATTCTCAAGCGTCTGCGTACCTTGAAAACATCAATAAAATATTGATCTTGTGTAGTAAGGTTATATAGGTAAAATAAATATGTGTTAGAGTCATGGATGCAGCTATATTATTGTAGCGTGAATTGGTTCGAAACCCCTGAATCCACTTCCCATCAAGTGGACTTTGTGCTCATTCTTCACCCACATTCTATAAAAAAAAATTATCCGTGCTCACTTTCTAACATCTGTTCATCATTGTTTAGCTCATTCTTAATGTTATCTCCGAAGCTCACAGCGACGATCTGTGGTGTCCATTCCGTTTGATTTTCATTCGTATTGTCGTAGCAAAAGTCATAGCCATTCTTCATTGTGAGTCCCAATGTCGATAGGGATTGTGAAAAACTATAAGTATGGTCAGTATTCTGAAAAAGAACAACTAAATATTTTCAATATGTAATTAAGTGATAACACTTACATATAGATTTAAAAAGTCAATCCAATGCATACATAATATTTTTCTTAAGCCCTTAAAAGTCCAAAGTGAATATAGTCCTCTCCAATTGTAGGGAGGATATGCCTTAATTGTCATGGTTGGTACAAGTTAATACAAGGTAGAGCCATGCTGCAACTATATTATGGTCGTAGCATGAAAGGGTCGACGTCCGGGGTAGGATCATGCTCTTAAAGAATACCAACGTAAAATAGCAGGTAAATGCTTCTGTGTTCCTTATGGTGAGTGTAGAGAGCCATCATTATCATCATTACAGCCCTTCACAAGTCCACTGCTGAACATAGGCCTCCCCCAGGTAATGCCACAAAGCACGGTCCTGAGCCACCTGCATCCATCGACTTCCTGCATGTCTTACCAGGTCGTCACTCCATCTAGTGGGGGGTCGCCCTACACTACGCCTACCGGTACGAGGCTGCCACTCGAGAACCTTTCTTCCCCATCGGTTATCGGTTCTTCGAGCTATATGGCCGGCCCATTGCCACTTCAGCTTACTAATCCGTTGGGCTATGTCGGTCACTCTGGTTTCACTGCGGATATCCTCATTTCTGAGTCTATCACGCAATGAAACTCCGAGCATAGCCCTCTCAATAGCTCGCTGAGCGACCTTGAGCGTCCTCATACGGCCAGCGGTGAAGGACCACGTCTCAGATCCGTAAGTCATCACTGGCAACACGCACTGGTTGTACACTTTAGTTTTCAGAGATTGAGGTATACCTGATGAGAAGATGTGTCGTAATTTCCCGAACGCTGCCCAGCCGAGTTGAATCCGTCGATTGACCTCTCGGTCGAAGTTGGACTTACCTAGTCGGACTATTTGTCCCAGGTAAACATACTCGTCAACAACTTCGAGCATAGTGCTCCCAACAATTACCGGCATAGGTGTGACATGGACATTAAACATGATCTTTGTTTTGTCCATGTTCATCTTAAGACCTATCCGTTGGAAGATACCATTGAGGTCATTGAACACGGTGCTTAGGTCCTACAGCGATTCTGCCATAAGGAATATATCGTCGGCAAATCGAAGGTGAGTGATGTACTCGCCATTGATGTTAATACCGTATCTTTTCCAGTCCAGTAGCTTGAAAACGTCTTCCAACGCAGCGGTGAAGAGTTCACACCACCCTGTCTTACACCTCTCTGCTGCAGTTGGATAGGTTTCGTACTCTGGTTCTGTACTCGGATAGCCATCGTAGCCCTACTGTACAAACACTTCAGCACTTCAATATACCGACAGTCAACTAGGCACCGCTGAAGAGACTGTAGCACCGCCCAAATTTCGACGGAATCAAAGGCTTTCTCATAGTCCACATACGCCAGGCAAAGTGGCAGATTGTACTCTTCGGACTTCTGTGCAATTTGCCGAAGGGTATGTATGTGGTCTATGGTACTGAAGCCTTTTCGGAAACCGGCTTGTTCGGGAGGCTGGAAGTCGTCGAGTCTGCGTGCGAGACGATTCGTAATGACTCTCGAACACAGCACGTAGACGCGGCTCAGAAGGGAAATCGGTCTGTAGTTCTTCAAGAGAGCGTTGTCGCCTTTCTTAAAGAACAAGACCACCGCGCTTCTGCTCCACGCCTCCGGAGTAATGCCACCATGGAGAACGGAATTGAAGAGCTTCTGAAGTACTTCAAGTACCGGTGTTCCACCCGCTTTCAGAAGCTCCGCTGTAATTCCATCCTCGCCCGGGGCCTTGCCGTTTTTAAGGTGGTGGAGAGCCATTCTAATCTCGCTCAGACTGACGTCCGGGATATCATCGGAATAGTGTCGGATAAGACTTGCTCTTGGATCGTTACTCACACTTGCGTGTGGCTCCAACGATGATGTGTACAGCTGCCCATAGAACCTCTCAATCTCACTCAGAATCTCAGGTGTCCCGGAAACGATGTTGCCACACTCAGTCTTCAGCCTTGACAGTTGGCTCCTTCTGGCAGACAGATCTCTGGCAAAGACTTTGGAGCCCTGGTTCCGCTCGATCGCTTCTTTAATACGAGCAGTATTAAAGTTACGTATATCTCGCCGCATGCATTTGGAGATCGGTCTGTTCAGTTGCCTGTATGCTGTCAAATCTGTTGACGATTGCAGCCTCATCTCCCGTCTCACAGCCATGAGATTAAGAGTGTGATCGGAGAGTTTTTGTGTTCTTCTGCGGCGGGTCTTGCAGAACTTAGCTCCGACCGCATGGACAGTTTCCACGAGCTTGTCATTCATATCGTCCACTGCATTGCAATCCTCTAGGCACTGAAAGCGGTTTTGTAACTCGAGCTGAAAGGTTTCGGGATTCTGGATTAGAGCACGAGGGGGACGGAGCGTTGACTTCATTAGACGAGACCTCTCCAACTTAACTTTTAGTTTCAGTGTGCCTCTAACCATTCGGTGATCGCTGCCAGTTTTCACCCTTGCGATCACTGAGACATCACTGAACAGTTGGCGTCTGGTCGTCATAATGAAGTCAATCTCATTTTTTGTCGAACCGTCGGGGGGGCTCGACCAGGTCCACTTCCTGTGGGGCCGCTTCTGGAAGAAAGAGTTCATTATAAAGAGTCCCTCTTTCTCCATAAAGTCGGCCAGCTGCTGGCCCCTTCGGTTCCGTTGCCCTACTCCAAATTTCCCCACCTTCAGCTCACCGCTTTCTCTTGTGCCCACTTTTGCGTTGAAGTCTCCCATCAACACCGTGTAGTGGGTTTTGGAGGAATGCATGAAAATATCTGGAAATATCCTCATACATTTCCTCCACCTCCTCATCGGGATGTGCCGAGGTTGGTGCGTAAACCTGTATGACCTTCAGCGAATACCGTTTGGTGATTCTGAGTATCAGGTACGCGACCCTCGTCGACACACTCCCAATCTTTACAACGTTGTTGACGAGAGACTTGTGGACGATAAATCCGACACCTCCTTGGGACAGATGGTCGCCCTCCCGGTGGTAGAAGAAGTTGCCGGACTCGAGGATTGCCGTATCCTCCCCCTCTCTTCGGACCTCGAATAATCCAATAATATGCCAGCGCAACTTGTCTACCTCTTCTTCCAGCTCCAGTATCTTCTCGTCAGTCCTCAGGGTGCGTGCGTTATATGTTGCCAGGTCGAGTCGTCGTAGGTGGCAACCGAACCTCCATCGGAGATTCTTAGCACCCCCTGCCCCGCCGTTACCATGGTCGCCACCGTATCCAGGAATAGCGGGGCCGCCGGGGACTGGGGGCCGTTTTTTTGCGTCATTATTCATGGGGGGATATTTGCCATAGTTGCCACGCTTGGCGAGCGGGTTGGCAACCGCAGTTTTTTATTATAACACAGTTGTTATCAGGAAGATGCTGCTGCCCAACTCCTGATTAGTGTCCCTCTGTCGCCTCTTACGACACCCACGGGAAGATATGGGGTAGTGGATATTCTCAACCGCCACTACACGGCACGGCGGTAGAGAGCCAGTGACCCTTTTTTTACTGGAAAAAAGTTTCAGTCCAGTCCTCAGGGGTGACAATGCATCTGCATTTTGATTCTTAATTGAAGATGCATGTAGATGTCTATGAACAGGCAGCGCGGCGGACATTTCCTCTGCCTAAAACCCTTTTAGAAATGAGAGGAGGCCTTTGCCCAGTAGTAAGACTTATATAGGCTATAACTTTAAGCATTATGTAATATAAATTGCAAGCATCATATATAATAATAATAACATGGCACTGTAAAGAAGTCTCTATTGCTTAATGAGTGGAAATATCAATAAAGAATGGTGAAGAGCAAATAATGAAAGCCGCGTGGGAGCAAGGTAAGGGAATCCATCACTCCATTTCATCCTATGGGTGCCTAAGGGAAACACCAAGAAGATGTTGTAGTTTTATTTTATAGAATAATAGTGACAAAATCACACAGTCCAGCTGATGGTAAGGTACGGCTCTTAGACACCTACATCTATCTTCCATCAACAATCAATCTGCAGAAGCATTGTCACTTCTAAAAACTAAGATGGTATATGCTCCATTTCCAGTAATAATGGTCTTCGATTCTCTATACTAGCCATATACAATACAGCAGCGTCATGTGGCTATTTTATGCTGATATTGTATGAGAGTTGTAGTTATATCCCAGTCTAGTCGACCCATTTGTGTTACAACCATAATGTAATTGCATCATGGCTCTATCACATACAGAATGACTGCTGATAAATAATAGTATAAGCAATTGTTTACATCATGCTTAAATCAATCAATTGGCGATGGATAGCAGCATGAAAGGTGCATGTCACCTCAGTACTGTGATCTCTAATCGACAAAGCAATGGTAAGCGACTCAACATAATTCACTTTTACTGGCTAAGGAAAAAGATGAAAAGCATACCTCATAGTTCTCTTTTTAAGCTTAGGATAGTTTCCTGGGCGGTGTGAACTTGCTTCTTGAATTTATCAAACCTCCTTAGTTGGGCAAGGCATTCCCAACACACTTGTAATGTTTCATCAGGTTCTTCAAACTGAAAAACAAATTCATAGCCTAAATAACAGTGACAATATCTATAGAAGTATAATGATTTCTTATATTTACGCGAACACTATACATGATTAAAACTACTTTTACGGATTTTATCGCGTTTATTTTTACTTTTTATTTACTTTTATTTTTAATTCCCGACGTTTCGGGCGCTTTCCAACACCCATGGTCACGGGGGGACTGAGATGACTGACGTCCCGATGTCATTGTTAAACCTGGAGTATCTTCAGCCTTTTTAATTATTGTTTCTGGTCTGATCTATGCAAAATGAACTGACTATGTCCTGTATGTATCTATAGAAGTATTTTTTATAGAAGTAAAGATGACACACACACAGTCCACCTGATGGTAAGTGAAGCCATAATCATCCAAGTCTACCATTTCATAAGAAGCTTTGCCCTATTCCCAGTTTGTTTCCCTCTGTCACCTGGCCACAGACACTAGACCCAACTGTGGACCATGTAGTTGCTGTGTTAGAATATCCACTACCCCAAAATCTTAACCAACTTTACATAGAGTGTGTGAATTGAAAATGATTGCCAACTTCAATCTCTACAACTAGGCTTTAACACAGGTATTCCTTAAGGTGGCAATGACCCCATCAACTGCTTTGCACTATATAAGCCTATAGTTGTGCACACGTTATATGTTTGTGGGGTACTGTTTAGACAATATTGTGCCATTTATTAACCAAAATTCTTATGTCAAAGGATACAATACAAGCGTAACTTTAGCTTAAAACACATGCAATGTTTACTTATTATTATGTCAGTAACATGACACGGCTTTAGTCAAATTAAATTGTGCATTTCATTGTAAGGAACCGTCCTAATTACCATTCCATTCCATTGTTTGCACAAATGTCCACTGTTGAATATAGGTCTCCCTTAAAACTTGCCCCATGGTGAATTTTGAATAGTTGCCATGCTTGGCAAGCGTTATTATTAGGAAGATTCTTCAATTTCTCTTTGTCGCCTTTTACAACAGCACTCGGTATTATACGGTAAGGAAGGCTATGCAGTGACGGTGTAAGTATATCCACTACCCCATATAATCCTGTGGGTGTAGTAAGAAGCAACTAATTGAAACAAATCAAGAAATGGACAGAAGCGTCTTCCTTATAACAACTAAAAATAAAATAATGTGGTTGCCAACCCGGTTGCCAAGCGTGGCAACTAAGGCAAGTATCCCACCTATGAGGTAACCTATGGGGAAGGCCTATGTTTAGTAGCGGATTTTAATCGGCTGTAATGGTAACAAACTCAAAGTATATTGTTTCAAATATAATTCATAATTAAAAAATAATAAAGTAATTTCTCCACAATAGCATCTGAAGTCGGTGTTAAGATTTTGTGCATTGAAGAATTGAAAGCTCCCGCTTATTCATATTTTCATGACTCAATCTGAGAATGTTATGTACAGTTGTAATTCACATGCATATCATAGTGCAAAACATTGTTTTTATATCATCACCATCATTACAGCCCTTCACAAGTCCACTGCTGAACATAGGCCTCCCCCAAGGTATGCTACAAAGCACGGTCCCGAGCCACCTGCATCCATCGACTTCCTGCATGTCTTACCAGGTCGTCACTCCATCTAGTGGGGGTCACCCTACACTTCGCCTACGGGTACGAGGCTGCCACTTGAGAACCTTTCTTCCCCAACGGTTGTCGGTTTATTATATTATAATATTTTTTATTAAGCTATTGCATAGCTTCTATCGCGGGCGTTGAGCGCAGGGACCGAATCCAGAAATTCCGTAACGAAAAAAACCTCACGCTCCCCACTCCGACGGGCACGGAGGTGTGGCGTTGAAAGCCGTGAATCATCTAACGTCGTTTCAGTTCAGCAGATTTCGGCACTCTGCAGACTTCGGCACAGTGTTTGTGTGCGTGCGACTAGACGTATGCGTGTACACTAGCTGCTAACTCAATGATAAAAATTCCTGAATAACCTACATGTATTGTAAGATATTAAAAATATTTTAAACAATATTTTAATAACATATTTAACAAATATTTTAACTTCTCATTTATTCAATAAGAGAAAAAAATGTTTTCTTATTGGTCACCACGCTCAAAAAGTGTAACTTGATTTAATATCAAAGACTTAACTGCATAAATAAAATAAATAAATAATTATAATTGCATAAGTTGATAAAAAACGCTATGCAATAGCTTTACCGCGGCAGTCACCGAGTGCCACACATATTTTTTATACAATAATCGTTTTTTTTATATAATAACATATTTTATTTATTTATTTAATCTTATATACTAAGGGATATAAAGGGCGGACTTAATGCCTTATGGCATTCTCTGCCATAAGGCATTAAGTCCGCCCTGGATGATTTGAGAAACTGTGGCAGGTGTAATCAATCACTTCATAAATAAATAATAAGGATATAAAACAAAATAAAATGCAAATGAATAGAATAGATATATAGTTAGTAAAATATACATACTTACTTAATATATAATATATTGTGTACTGTAAATGTACTTATTAAATAAATAAATTTACATAAAATTTGATACGGTACATCATCACTACAGCCTATCATAGGTCCATCACAAACACAGGCCTCCCTCAAGCATGTTCCTGAGCCACTTGAACTCATCAACTTCTTACATCTCTTTTTTTTTTAATTTCTTACAGCAAAGCAGTGGAAAAATTTGCCAGCATCTGTCTTTTCATCCGATTATAATGTGGGTGTCTTCAAGGCGTCAGTGAATAGATTTTTGTTAAGTCAGTGCGCTTCACCATCTTAGGCTACATCACCACTTACCATCAGGTGGGATTGTAGTTGAGCTCTAGCTTAGAATAATTAAAGAGAATCTCTTAATAAATCATCACTTCATCTAATGGGTAGGTGTCTCCCTATACTTCCCTTACATTATATTGGTAATAGATGGGTAATCATAATACATTTTAACAAGGTCCATAATTTAGTAGTCATATTATGAATTTTGCATAACTGCATCTCACAATGTTCATTATAAATAGTAAATAGGGAATATTTTTCCCTTTAATATTATTATTATAATGATTTGCGGCAACTTTTTCAAACACACATTTTTTACATGCCCGAATTTTCAGAGAATATTCAAAGTAATATAGGAATTTGAAGAAAAATTAATTTAAAAAAATCTCAAACATTCTATACTTTTTATCATTCAAATTCAGAATGGGTAATACATTATTTTAAGTGATTTTCATTCGTAAATATCTAAAGCCTTCTACTTTACAACCAATGCACACATTTGTGAGGCTTGCTGGTCTGCAAAATCATTGTGAATTGAATTGCACACAGAGGAGCACAGTGGAGTTGTTGCCTATGAATCACATTCAATTTGGAATAATTTCAAATAAAAGTAGAAGACTTATTAACTCGTATTTTAAAAAACTGCTATAACATTTTATCATTATTTACTTATTTGAACTTAAATATAAAATTTAGACTCTTTGAAAAATAACAATTGAAAACCTGAAAAGAAAAAGAATGAAAGAAAGAAAAAGAATGAAAGTTGGGTGGAACAAAAGAATCATGAGCATCAATTTTCTCAAAATTTTATCACTTCGAAGTATGTCAGAAGTTACTCTGAATGATAGTGGGAGAAATTGAAGCGCCCATTACATTATCCAATTTGCAGAGCGCTAGATTTAGTGCTGCAGCGAACTATAAAAAGAGCTCACTCATTTTATCACTTCGAAGTATGTCAGAAGTTACTCTGAATGATAGTGGGAGAAATTGAAGCGCCCATTACATTATCCAATTTGCAGAGCGCTAGATTTAGTGCTGCAGTGAACTATAAAAAGAGCTCACTCATTTTATCACTTCGAAGTATGTCAGAAGTTACTCTGAATGATAGTGGGAGAAATTGAAGCGCCCATTACATTATCCAATTTGCAGAGCACTAGATTTAGTGCTGCAGCGAACTATAAAAAGAGCTCACTCATTTTATCACTTCGAAGTATGTCAGCAGTTACTCTGAATGATAGTGGGAGAAATTGAAGCGCCCATTACATTATCCAATTTGCAGAGCGCTAGATTTAGTGCTGCAGCGAACTATAAAAAGAGCTCACTCATTACACTAGACTAACTAGCGAAGCTAGTTAGTTTAATTTCCTTTCATTTCTGTAGTGATCGTCGTCAAAACCGCATCTTTCAAAAAGCGCCAAACGAATATGGTACTATAAAACCACCAGAAACTTGGCGTTTCTTTAGCAATGATGTCAAGTTTAATGAAAATTAATTTTAAAAAAAACACAAAAAATGTTGGGTGAAAGAATATTTATTCCTGAGACAAAAATTGTTCTCTTATTAGTTTGTAGTCAAATATGAACAATGTGAATCCTTTGTAAAGTTCGAGAAGCACTTTGTTTCCATCACTTCTTATCTCTTTGTTTTTATAATCCTTACGTTTTTTATCACAAAGAAATGGCATGTTTTGTATAATTCATTATTTCCCATTTAAGAGCACTTCCTTTTCCTTCATATATCATATACCAAAATATAGTCCTATTCGAGCGCACGCCGACTGACTGACTGACCTAGCAAAGTTAGTGTTTAGCACGCTAGCATGCTTTACACCATGCTATTTAGTGCGCTAGCTAGTGTACGATATGAGCTAGCGCGGCAGAGTCAATGCAATCGCCGTAGATTGGATCACTAGCTGTCTAACTGCCTTTACACAATACAAATTTAGTACGCTAGTTCACCTAGCGCTCTGCAAATTGGATAATGTAATGGGCGCTTATATGTTATGAGAAAAGCGTGGTTTGTATGAATTTGTTAACAAAAAAATAAAGAAGCCTTTGTAGTTGTAAATGTACTCACCTTGTCACCCGCGACATCATACATTAGTAATCGAAATATTCGATGAATATTTGATTGACTTATTATAAACACTAAATCACGATCCGAGCTAAGGCAAGCACTACAAACTTTAGAGAAAGCAATATCCACTTCTTGCTTCATTTTATACATGACAATTATTATTTGTTCGAATGATGTTACTTTTCCTAGCCACTAAACCTTCAACACAGGTTCTGTTCAGGTGTTCTCTTAGTTAAAATTTGCAAGTACGACGGGGATCGGGGAATAAAACTAGTAGATTATTATTACATACTCGAGAGAGCTAAATATTATTTACCCAACCAAACAACAAACTATAGATAAATAAATATGTAGCAAGCTAAACTATACTATAGTTCATAAAAGATAGCTTGATCCAGCTCATATCTCTATGATCCAACTTGATCTCTGTTCTCTGTTCTCTGCGACAGCTAGTTAGTAATCTATGGCGACAGCTGTCAGTAAAAATCACGCCTATCAGCGCCTCTACACGTTGGCCAACACAGTGGCGAATGTAGTGACCAATCGCATTGGCCAACGTGTAGACGGGGTGTTAGGGCTTCATTGGTATGTGTTGGGACGATGGCCCACAAGTTGGCGCGAGATCCGTGTGGTGTGTCGGTTTTTTACAAAAGATCAAAGGATTGTTGGCAGAGTTTGGTCGCCGCGTCCACACGTTGGCCGCGCGTTTAGTTTGCTACAAGCTCCCAGAGTGATTACACGCATCTGATTTAAATGTTATATTCAAGCTTTGTAGGGTGGATGCCCCAATTACCAGTCTTTTAGTGCCAATTTCAACTTTAAACATTCCTACTACTTTAATTAGCGCGATTTAATTATTTTTAAACATTTGTTTTAATCGATTAACTATTTATCAAAAAAAAAATAACGAACATTTATTACAATCAGATTATTACGAGAACAATTTTAAAATGAAAAAAAGAAGCACGTCGTTTATACGTAGTAGAACCATGCGGTTATATTAGAAGTATAGTTGTAGCACGAATGGGTCGGCTCAACCGGGGAAGGACCACGCTCTCACAGAATATCAGCATAAAATAGTAGCTAAATGATGCTGTGTTTCGTATAGTGAGTGTAGAGAACCAGAGACCCTTTTGAAAGGAAACGAGGCATTTCATCTTAGTCCTCACTGGTGAGAACGCATCTGCATTTTGATTCGTAATCGAGGATAGATGTAGATGTCTGTGGGCCACAGTAACCACTTAACATCAGGTGAACTGTGTGCTCGTTTGTCACCATATCCTATAAAAAACGTCAATTTCTTATAATTAAATCGTGCAAGTTTTCGAATCATCATCATCATTACAGCTCTTCACAAGTCCACTACTGAACATCCTCCTCTACAGACTGCCGCAAAGCATGGTCCTGAGCCACTTGTTCGTCATGGGTTTTTCATTTATGTTCTAAGTTATAATTAGTACCTATTATTAAGTCAGTGTTAATTATATTTATTGCTATTGTTTTTGTCTTTCTCAAAAAATAATTAAAATACCAAATAAATTATAAGGTGTTTTTTATATACATCAAATGTCTGATAGAAATGCAAGTACATATTTTGCTAAACTTTAAAATCAAAACCCAATTTTAAAACATAGACTAATCGATTATAACTCATTTAACTTTAAAATACCTAAGTTAAGTTCTTATTAATGATATTTATTCCAGTTTCTGATGCATGTAAAGAATAAATAAAGCTAATCGTATATCGTAAATCTCTTTACAGCCCCATTAATATCCACTATTATTTTATAATTCTTTTATAAAAACGTTAACCCCACACTAGGACTTTCTCCCGTATCGCGCAGGCAGTTTACAAAAATAAATTGCACAAGGAAACACATCCAGACCCGAAACAATTATTTGTAGGACATACAAATACTTGTTCCGTGCGGGATCAAACCCGCGGTGCCCGGCGCAGCCACTCATTGCTGAGCCACTGCGCCACGGAGCCGTCGTCAATTCGTCCGCACATTGGCCCGAACCGAAGTAAACTGAACGACTTTCCAACGTGTGGATGCCGTCACCAACTCTCGGCCAATATATTCGCCACTACATTCGCCACTGTCTTGGCCAACGTGTAGAGCCGACATATGAAGTATGAAGTCCTGAATTTCTTAGTAGTACAGACAGTATAGGCATGTCGATTCTCTCTTAAAAAAATCGATCTCTGAATCGATTTGAATCGAAGATACTAGAATCGATTCCGATTAAATCGAAGATTAAAAGATCGATTTTCGATTAATCGCGACATTTTTAAACATGAAATTTCAAGTATTTGCGATTTTTTTCTTTAATCGAACTTTAATAACTTTTTTTTTAAATAAAATATTTGTAATCTTATTAATTAACATTACTAATATTCCTTTAACCACTCCTGGTAAGCTTGAAACACTTGTGTTAGGAGTGGTTCGCACATACGCCACTCGATCCTTTTTTTTTGCAAAGTGATGCCATGTATCACTTTTATTTGATATTTTAGGCTAAAAAGAACAACAATACTTGCAAACTACAACGTACATTTCTCGATAAATCTGTTTCAATCTAATAACGTGAGTTATTAGATTAATAAAGATATTTATCAAATTGAAATGAATGCTACACGAACACAAAACTGGTTATTTCCTTACTATAAATCTCTATAAACTTCAACATATAATATTTATTTACAGTACCTAGGTATTCAAAAAGTAATCTGTCTGTACTTCACAGCTATAATCTTATATTGTAGTATGTATAAATTATAGTCTTTGTTCACAGCACAGATTAAGTTAGACCAACATTCCATAGGTAAGATTAGAATTAGAATTTTAGTACTGAAAATGAAATGACAACTTTTCGATATAGTTGGATCCGTTAATAACTATTTACTTTATTCAAAATAATTTTAATTAATTAATTTTTGTAACTTAAATATATATTATGTTTAAATTATCAACCAAGTACGACCGGTTGTTTTTGCGTCTCCCAACAGCAAAAAATTAAAAAACTGCGGTATCTTACCTCAGTCAATTTAGGAATTTTATCGCTAGTCTTGAATCAGATGAATCAGTGAATCGATAGCAGTGCTCCGAATCCGATCTCAAAAATCGATTCGGAGCACAGCTATCGATTTTTAGTTCGAATTATTATCGAATTATTTTACTTCAAAGAATCGATTTTAGATCGACATGCCTAAGACAGTACCTGTCAATGTCATACTTTATGGGCATGCCGACCTAATTGGTGCATGCCCATAAAGTATGACAATATACATTAACAGGTACTGATACTGTCTGTACTCTGTACTACTAAGAAATTCAAGAATGCATAGGCGTGATTTTACTGACAGCTGTCGCAGAGATCAAGCTATGAAACCATAGATTACTGACTTTGTACTAGCTAGAAACCAAACGAAGATCAAAAATAGTCAGTAACCCGTAGACAGAGAATGCTATAGACAAAGTGATATCTTTTGTCGCAGTCACACAAGAGAAAGAGCAACTTACGCCGATGTCGTGTAAAGAAATGAGAAAGAACGATGAGATTTTTTGTTTCGCTGAGCGTGTCGCTTTTTTTCAATATTTAACAAACCACTTTCCTCTTAGTAGTCTGCGAATCACTTTGATAAACAAAGTTTGACAGCTAACGTGTAGCGAGGTAAATTTTTTGTATAAAACATTGTTTTACGTGTTTTATGTTAAGTATTTCATATTATATTTTGTTGTGAACAATTTAGACGTCCAACTATTTTTATTAAAAACATGGTGTGGCGTAGTGTTTTAGGGTGTAAAAGTGATAGTGGAAGGAAAATGTCGGGATTGTCTTTTCATTCGTAAGTATACCACTCTGTCGGTTACTAGGCATTCTGTAACATATGAAATGCATATATTCTGTATAATGTATTCTAGACATGAATTTATCGTTAAAAAAGTACATAAATAACAATAGAGATCGTGATCCTCGGCGACTTTAACGCCCATCACGCCGAATGGCTCGGTTCACGTTTAACCGATCATGCGGGGAGATCTGTTCATGATTTTGCCTTGTCATATGGTCTGACACAACTGGTTACTTCGCCTACGCGGATTCCAGATGTGGAGGATCATGCACCTTCCCTGTTGGACCTTCTGCTGACCTCTCACCCGGACGGATATCAGATTTCCGTCGACGCCCCTTTAGGCTCCTCGGACCATTGTCTTGTCCGGAGTGTGGTGCCACTCACGCTGAAATCGCGGTTGCATTCTGCAGGCTGCCGCCGTGTTTGGCACTATAGGTCAGCCGATTGGGATGGGATGTGGTCTTTCTTTGCATCCTACCCTTGGGGGCGGGTTTGCTTCTCGCCGGACGATCCCAACGTTGTTGCGGATTCTGTCGCTGATGTGGTACTTCAGGGTATGGAACTTTTTATTCCTTCCTCTGTGGTGTCCATTGGAGGCAAATCTCAGCCATGGTTTGGTCGCTCCTGTAAAATAGCATCATGCTATAAGCAGGAGTGCTACCAGGCCTGGGCTGACGCATCAGCGTCCAGGGATGTAAACACCAGCGCTCTAAAAAAGAAGTATAATTCCGCCTCTAGGTCCTTCAAAAGAGTCATTGCCAAGGCAAAGTCAGAGCACATAGGCAGAATTGGCGAGAAACTAGTTCGTCTTCCTTCTGGAACCCGTACATTCTGGTCTCTCGCCAAGGCTGTCCAGGGGAATTTCTGTCAGCCATCTCTTCCATCTCTGCACAGGGAGGACGACTCACTGGCCCACACCGCAAAGGAGAAAGCCGATCTTCTAGGCTCTTTCTTTGCGTCTAACTCGACTCTCGATGACGGGGGAGTACGCCGCCGACCATCCCGCGGTGTGAGTGCTCCATGCCGGAAGTGCAGTTCACTCAGCGCTCGGTTCGCAAAGCACTCCTCTCCCTGGACATCCACAAGTCGAGTGGGCCTGACGGAATCCCCCCAATTGTGCTGAGGACGTGTGCTCCAGAGTTGGCACCGGTTTTAACGCGTTTTTTCCGGTACTCCTACTCCCTAGGCGTAGTCCCAAAATCATGGAAGACGGCTTTCGTCCACCCGATCCCTAAAAAAGGCGACCGCTCAGACCCGTCCAACTACCGGCCTATCGCCATCACCTCCTTGTTCTCCAAAACAATGGAGTCCATTGTAAACTGCCAGCTCATGAGGTACCTTGAGGATCACCAGCTGATTAGTGACCGCCAATACGGTTTTCGCCGTGGTAGGTCAGCTGGTGATCTTCTGGTCTACCTAACTCACAGATGGGCGGAGGCAGTAGAGTCCAAGGGGGGAGGCATTGGCCGTTAGTTTGGACATTGCGAAGGCCTTCGATCGGGTTTGGCACAAAGCGCTTCTTTCGAAGCTCCCTTCCTATGGGCTTCCCGAGAAATTGTGCGATTGGATCACCAGTTTTCTTGCAGATCGGAGCATCAAGGTCGTTGTAGACGGTGCAAGCTCCGATTGCAAGCCTATTAATGCTGGTGTTCCACAGGGCTGCGTGCTATCGCCAACGCTGTTTCTTCTGCATATCAATGATATGTTGCAGACCCGTAACATTCATTGCTATGCAGATGACAGCACTGGTGATGCTCTTTACACCGGCCGAGCCAATATTTCTCGGGAAAACGTCTCCGAGTGCCGGGACAAACTTGTGTCTGAAGTCGAGTCTCTGCTGGACAGAGTCTCGGATTGGGGGCGACTAAATCTAGTCCAGTTTAACCCCCAGAAGACACAAGTTTGCGCGTTAACCGCTAAAAAGAACCCCTTTGTCGTATCCCCTCAGTTTCAAGGCACTCCCCCTTGTTGCCTCAGCCAGTATCGGAATCCTCGGCGTCGACATATCGAGTGACGTGCAGTTTCGTGGTCACTTGGAAGGGAAGGCCAAATTGGCCTCTAAAAAAGCTTGGCGTGCTCAGCAGAGCGGGACAGTATTTCATGCCGGCACACCGCCTGCAACTTTACAAGGCGCAGGTTCGGCCGCACATGGAATACTGTTCCCATCTCTGGGCTGGGGCTCCCCAGTACCAGCTCCTTCCACTTGACCACATCCAGCGCAGAGCGGCTCGAATCGTCGACGACCGAGTGCTTTCCGATCGGCTCGATTCTCTGGCACTGCGAAGAGATGTTGCATCCCTTTGCATTTTCTTTCGCATATACCATGGAGAGTGCTCTGAGGAATTGTTCGGATTAATCCCAGCCGCCAAATTTCGTGAACGCACTACGCGGCAAACGTCCCGATACCATCCACACCATCTGGATGCTTGGCGGTCCACCACTGTACGTTTCAAAAGGAGTTTTCTTCCGCGTACAACCTCTCTGTGGAATAATTTACCACCAGCGATTTTTCCGGACCGATACGACCTGGGGACCTTCAAGAAAAGAGCTTACTCCTTTCTAAAGGGCCGGCAACGCGTCTGCAATTCCCCCTGGTGTTGCAGTTGATCATGGGCGGCGGTAGTCACTTAACATCAGGTGAGCCACATGCTCGTTTGCCCCCCTCTTCTATAAAAAAAAAAAAAAAAAAATTGCAAATTTTAACCTAAAATCTTCGGTGTGGTCAACTTTTCTATAAACTATTACCCACTATTATAAGAAATGATAATATCTGCATACCGGAGGTATATTATCCTAAGTCCATTTTTTCGACATTCACTTTGTAATGTCATTAAAACAAACTAGTAACGATCTACTTGGTGGTATAATATTTTAAATCCAACTAAATAAACTACAAACTTTCGAACTCTGTAACATGTTTTAAGTCCAAATTAATTCAAAGGTATACAATGTTATATGGACTTATGCTTTTGTGCCGCTCAATTATCAAAAATGAAAGCATTCTAAGTCCAAATAAAATGAGAAGTTTGTTTTTGAACATAAATTGCACTTTATTATTTATATTTATTTATTGTATTATCGATGATGAAGTGACAAGAACCTTTATCTACCAGAACATGATTTTACAGGAAACGAAAAAAACTTTTTATTTATTTTAAACGCAAGGTATGAAAAATACTATTATTGGATATATATTAAATAAGAAGCGGGTATAGGGGGCTATGTGCGACTAGTGTATATAAAATCAACTTTTTTGATTTAGACGTAGATAGGTGATATTGCAGTCTAGGCTTTGAAAATATACATTATAATAGCAAAGATAGAAGATATTTCTAGTAAGTAATTTCTATAATATTTTAAAGAAAAGGCTTGATTTTCATAGAATAATTTTTAATTAACTTCAAAAATGTTTCAGATTGTTAGAAAATAACATTGTCATATTAATTATTACAATCAAATATCTGATACAACATAAAAATGGCTACATTGCTCTTGAGACTTAATTAAAAGAAAACAGAATATAATCAGTTTATAATTACGATTATTGGAACAAATACAATGGAAGAAAAAAACATGTTATGCCGACCGCAAATAAAATCTGACTAGGGCAGGAAGATGATGTTGGGACAACTATGTTGTCTCAAAAATGTTGTTTTATTAAATGAACCAAATGGTTCAAACAAATGGCAAAGTGTCATAAAAATTATGGCAATCTTTAGGTAATACTGCTTTTAGTTGTTGCAGGTGGTTGTACTTCATTATAGTAATTGGAATTTTGTTAGGTTGTAGTGGAGGATAGATTGCTTCCGAAGCTAGTAACCTAGGTCTGTGCGTTAAAGGAATCAACTGTTCGTCAAAACCCAGTTTAACTTAGATTGTCATAGTATAGTACTTTATTACTCTGATATCTACAACCTGTGGATCGCCAGATTTGCGGCCTGGTCGAATACTTTTATAAAGCATATTTTCAGGTCGGGCATAATCTTTAACAAATTCATGATCTACATTAATTGCTTCATAAGGGTTAGTGCTTCGTCCCTCTTTAGTAATCGTAACATAATCACTAGGCAAATGTATTTCCCGATTTTTGAGTTTTCGCTCAATAGTACTGTGAACCGAGTCACACTCTTGGTTCTAACAATTTTTGCGTTATGATTACGTTATGTTTCTTGCTCAAAAGGAGCAGTGCATTTGCCAGCACACAATTACGATTCTGATATGTGCACCCGTCGGAGTAAATAACAATTGGTAACTGATGTGGAATACAATGTCTTTCTAAATAATCAATAAAAAACGTCGCAAAAGTGCTAGACGTTAAATCAGCAGAAGTTTCGTCAAACCAATAACAACTGCAGTGCTTGGTTACTAAATTAAAAACAGTGAAATTATGGCACGTTAACTTGGTCTTGAAATACAAAGCACTAGCAGTAAGGTAAGGACAAACCTTCACAGCCTCTAAATCCACAGTCAAATGTATAAATTCTCCAGCAGCTGCTTTTTTCTTGTCCTCTTCTTTTTCTTCTCTAGCCCTGTTTTTCTTAAATATATGTATTTGGTAATCTGATTCATTTAAATTACCCGAATTGTAACTTGAACAGGTGTCACACATGTCCTTTTTAAGCGTAAATAGTGACAAATTTTTGTCATGATAATTCTTTTCAAATGTAAATCTACTAACATAAGGTTGACTAGTTTCAGTGCAATATTTAGTGCAGAGAACGATAGATTGGTTCTATGAAGAGTTTAGCTGTGCTTTTCTTGCGTAATGCGACGGCAATTTTGGCAAACTTGTAAAAAAGTTGTTTAAAATTGAAAGTTTCGTTTCTACTTCTGCTCTTGGAGTCTTTGTTTTAGAATCGTATATTGCATCATGGTTTGAAGTCATGCCAAACTCACTCTTTTTTTACCCATACTTGAACAGTGAACGATCAAAGTGATAAGGTGTTTAAAACATTTGTTTACATACATGTACTTTATTTGAACAATCTTTTTCAATCGGCAAAAAATATGATAGAGTTCCCTCCCGCCTAGATAGTTCACTAGCCGATTTAGTTTTCCGAGATGTACTAGATCGTGTCACCAATCCCGTAACGTAAACTCTTCGTTGATCCCAGGTCATTTTCTTCCAAAAATTGCTATGTATATCCTTTCGACAATCCTCAGTTAACCTATCACAGCCTCTTACCTTACTCTTCTTACAAAAATTGGAGGCGCAAGTTGGTCTTAGCCGTCTTGCTTGTCTTATAATATCTTGTTGGAACTTCCTATCTTTTGGTTTAGAATATCCTAAATACTCTTCACCTCGCATTCGCTTCAAAAAAGCCTTGTTCCTTTTCCAAGATTTTGGGTCAGCATTGTGACGACGTTTTCGACCTTCTTCCATATCTCCATAATCTTGTTGGTCCCCAGTCACCAATACTTCAGCAAAATTTCTTTCTTCAGGAATTTGGTAAACATCATCTGATGTAGATTCGATCTGATCCGGTTTGTTAAACGCAATCAATAAATCAAGATTACTTGTAATGTCCAACAACGCTGGAACCGATGGCGACTTTTTTAGGGAACTAATCATATTGTTTGTATCATGCGTTAAATCAGATAATGACCAAGACCTTAATACGAGACGACGACGAGTGCTTGAATATAAAGCAGTAGATTCGTATTCATTATTGTCAAGGATTTCTGTGGGTTCAAAGCTACAGATTTCCGGTGGACTTAAAACATTGATGTTGGCGTTGATAGCTTCCTTTGCTTTAAAATACCTACTTAGGTATTTGAAAAACGTATTCGTTAACCTTAACAATTACAAAAAAAAAGATGAAAACACTTCTGTTTAAGTTTTAACTGTATGAGCATTAGTTTAAGCTAAAAATAATTACCTGGTATAACAAAAATCCCACTATTTACATTAAAAACAACAAAAACACTCTTCCCGCAAACTTTCACATTGCAACTTGCTCCGAATTCAAACGAAATGACAGAAGAAAAAAGGTAGGCGAATATCTCATGATAGCTGCGTGAAAGTAAGGACGTATCTTGCAGGAGTGAAGATAGGAGGTCTTGACAGAAATAATTTCTTTAGGGTTATTTAGTAGTTATTGATATTAGTTTCTTAGATAATATTGTCAGAAAATTTGCTGCACATTTGCTTAATAGTTATTGTCAGTTATTAATAACTGGTTAAAAAATAAAATATAAAGTTAGCTGCTATTGCATGCTCACGCAAACAATTATTTAAAGTTTATCTACGAAAAAAAAGTAAAATCGCAAAAATGTCAGTTAGGAGTTCTTGTCACTTCATCGTCGTTATGTAAATTGTGCATTTAGCTGCGATTGAAGAGGGTGTTCCAAGCACATCTCATGATGTACCAAATTCTATATGCCAGAATATTTTTTTATTTAAATTTAATAAAAGTACAATAGAGCAGACAGGAAAAAAGCGAATAAGAAATGATTGTAAGCTTACTTCTGCAAAAGTGGTAAAACAGTACCTTGCAAAAGAATGAAACCTGCATGTAGCACAAATTGCCACATGAAATGCAGTACTAAAATATCCGAGCAGAATAAGGAAGAGATATTTACTTTTTATTGGGATCCAGAAAAAGACTACAATGTTAAGAGGCAATTCATAGTATCATGTATCCAGTCGAAACCACAAGACAAAGACAGATCAGGAGATGAATCTAAGTTAGGGTCAAATACTTTAGTGTATTCTTTTGTTGTTAATGGTATAACAACAGCAATCTATAAGACAATGTTTCTAAATTTCCCAACAAGTGGTTAAGACTGCTTAAGACTGAGATGAGAGGGGTGTAATGTTGAAAGTGACAAAAGGGGAAAACGTGAACCATCGAACTAAACAGATCATGAAATTGTTAAATCTGTTATGTCCCACATTTCATTTCTCCCAAAGTATGAATGTCACTACAATCATGAGAGATCAAAGAGATGTTATTTAGGACCGAATTTAAATATCGAACAAATATATGATTTTTACAAACTACAGTAGGGCCTCGTTAATCCGGAGAAGCAAAAACAATGCCCCTTCCGAATTATCGAGGCATCCGGATTATAGTATGCCATATTTAGTAGTAATAAAACACATGTGTAACCTTAGTTTCTTTAACCAATTTTCAAATTAAAGCATAAAGACAAAAATGTACATGTTCAAAATCACGACCGTGTATGAAAACAGTAAGTTAAAATAAAACATTAATAAATTCTTCTTGAATTCACCGGGACCACATTCTGATAGGCTAACAAACTTCAAGATTGAATAAAACTATTATTTACGGATTTTATCGCGTTTAATTACTTTAATTTATTTTTATTATTATCCCGACGTTTCGGGTGCTTTACAGCGCCCATGGTCACGGGGGGGACTGAGATGTTTGACGTCCCAATGTCATAGTTAGTCCGGCTACCTTCAGTTTTTTAATATTAATTTTTGGTCCGATTTACGCAAAACGAGCTTATAGTATCATGAAGTCTTGCAGTGGTATGCTTGGGTTTGGGTTTAATTTTGTTGATTATAGGATCCCAAGCAGATGGTAGCACCCAACCATCTTCTCTATTGAAATTTGGATGTTTTTTAATTTCAATAGCCTCGCGTATCATCCTTGGTAGGAATCGGTGTTCTTTTGCGAGAATTTGTGGTTTATCAAATCTAATGTAATGGTGGGGACGATCTTGAACATGTTCGCAGACTGCAGACTTCCCGGAGCGTCGGTGCTTCACATCAGCTATATGTTCCTTCACGCGGGTTTTTATAGATCTCTTTGTTTGACCTATGACTTCAAGATTTTGTCTTTTTTCTTTATGTCGCCTACAGTTGACCTGCCCATACCAAACTTCCGACCAATGACAGGGTACATTTCTGTAATCGGCGATTTGTCTTTTATTGTTAATGTTTACGTTGCGGCGTCATGATGTTAGCAAATTGAACGCACTAAATTGACACTGTACGTACAACACGAAAGGCGGTAACCAAAAGACTGATGACGCCTGATAAACAGAAGAAGAAGACCGACTCGACTGAAAGACTCACGGCAGCCCGCACCTGCACCAGCCCGCCTCCCCGGAAGCCCATTGCCCGGCCAGATTACAGCTATCACCGAACAAGCGGGAGTCCGGATTACCGAGGCCCTACTGTACTTTATACTTGTGACAATTGCGATATGTTTTCAGCAAAACTTAAAAAAATGTAGAATGGCCCCGAGAAACAACTTCTGTTCTACTATTCCCCCCTTAAAAGGAAAAGTGGCGGAGCCCCCCCCCCCTTTTTCAGTTTTTTTCAATTTTAATTCTGAGGAAATTTTATTTTTTATGGATAAATATTAAGTGTAAAAAACCATGGGGACCTCTTGGGGGAAGGTGGTACCCCCCTAAGCAAGGGGGAATCCCCTTCACCAAAAATAAATAGAGGGACTCATTCAGAGGGATTTCTGTATCTATTTTGAGACTGCAACGTCTCCGGCGCTGGGGGAAGAGCAGCCTCTACGCCTTTTTTTTTTTTTTATTTATTTATTTGCTTTTTCAGGGAAACATACAGTACAATAAAAAAATACATTATAAAACATATAAAAGTAATCCTAAAACCAATGAAGTTTCCACAGATATCTAAAACATATTAAAAGCTTGCAACCACAATATGTTTAAAGATTGAAAAAAAAAATACCTAAATGGATTTATAATTAAACATTAAGTTCTAAGCATAAAATAAAAGTAATACAATACACACGACCTATAGTGAAGCTACCAATTATAAATTAAGTTTTACAATATTTTTTTTATAACTATTGTATTTAAGGTGAAAAATATCTAGTTCACAATATTTTAAGTTAAAATTTTTACATGTACGAGATACAAAATTATTAGAAGCGTACTTCGTTTTTACTTTACGTAATGCAAAAAGAGGCTTTTTTTCGTGCACCTAACCGGTGACACGCAAGATTCACTTTGCTTAAAAGTAGGGGTGAGTCGATGATATTATGTAGCAATTTGTACAACAACATTTGATCTCTTATATCACGGCGTTTTTCGAGTGTATAACTGTGTAAGCTATCAATAAAGGAGTCTACGGAAGAATCATATCGCTTTAAGTGACGCAGAAACTTATTATTGATTGTTTCAATCATTTTAACATAAACTTTGTATTGAGGATTCCAACATGAAGAGCAATATTCAAGAATAGATCGCACCAGAGTATTAAATAGTATAATTAATGTTGTAGAGTTTTTAAAATCTTTTAAGATACGCATCACAAAACCTAGCATTTTATAAGCTCTTTGAGTTATTATATTAATATGTGATCTCAGTAACAACTTACTATCCAACTGAACACCAAGATCACGCAGTTCATTTACTCTCTTTAGTAAATTATCGTCGAGCTTGTAGTTAAAGAGGATTGGATTCTTTTTCCTAGTAAATGAGATAATATTACATTACTTATTACTACGATTTGTTACGCATATACTTTGCGTAACAAATCGTAGGCATCGGACGAGCCGGAGCGGCTAAGGCTGGTCGCCGAAGGCGACCAACAAGCTGAAGCTGCGGAGGCGAAGGCGAGGCGAGCAGGCGGAGGCTGCTCTCCCTACGCGCCTCCGGCTCTATAAAAACAGTCTAGGGGTAGGACAGACTCGTACCACGTGGAGTCGGGGTCTATTAATTCGGTTCCTTGACATAAGTTGAACCTAACCTATTTTATTTGTTATCTGTCCTAATAGGTGGTTACTGTTTTATACACATGTATTATACAATTTTATACACATATTGCTTTAATTAATTCTTAGAAATCGTCAGTTTTACGTTACGTCCAAAAATCTGGCAAAAAACGGTAAACACTACATATTTTAATTTTAATAGCTCATAGTGATAATAATTCTGTAATTTAAATATAAACTGTTAAATATATGTGTATGCATGAAAACTATTTAAATGAGTACAAAATATAATTATTTACGTAAAATGTACAATAAAATGCTACCGAATATATAACAACTTAACTGTACGGAAAACGAACGTTCAATGGCGAGAATTCGATGTAATCTGTGGTAAGGATTGACGTAAATATTAAAAAATAATTGATTTTCAATAATATTTTTCTCAAAAAAGTACGTGTTTTGCGCATGTTGAAATTTTGCGTGTGTGCTTACAATAGTGTAACCTTTCTGTAAAAAAAAATATCATATAATCTGAGATAGGGATTGACATAAATATTGCAAAAATATTTGATGTTCAATAAAAAAAAATTTCTCAAAAAGTACGCTTTTCCGCATGTTGAAACTTTACGTGTGTGCTTATATTAATGTAACCTTTCTGTAAATAAAATATCAACCCCCAACTCGACGGACGTCAATGGAAAGCTTAATAATAATAATAATAAAAAGGCGTAGGGAAGTGACGACCCCATCGCCCGCTGATATAACGGTTATGTGACAAAACCGCTACGTCGGCGCAGTCAGTCAGCACCTTGCCAAGAGGTGTTAGTGCCGTGCCTCGGCAAAAATTGAAGGTGCCAAGGCCCGCTTGTGCACATGGCCTAACCATGAAACGGCGTCGGGTCTGGGC